TAGTCATGATATTTTCCAGTTTTCTACCGTTAGGTGAAGAATAGCTGTAATTCCATCCTAGATGTGCGCTGTTGAAGTCACCTGCAATTAGTATTGGATATTTATTGTTTTCTTGTATAAATCGATCTAGTTCTTTAGAATGTTTGAACTCTTTTTTCGGTGTCCAATATGCGTTTAGGATGATTATATCTGTTTCTATGGTTTGAATTTTAATTGCTACGTGCTCTTGTTCTTCAGAATTGAGGTGTTTAGTGTCTATTTGTATAGCCGTAATGGATTTATGAGTGTACGTTATTGTCGTTCCTTGGGGGGGAGCGGGGTTATCGCGGTTCTTTTTTGGGAGGTTCCTTGTGATGCTTGGTTGGGAGTGAAGGTCGTAGCCCGGTATGTTGAAGACTCCGTTACTTTCTTGTATCAGTATAATGTCTGGCTGTTCTTTTGATTGCTGTATGTATTGTTTTAATAAATTGACCTTTTTACGCAAACCGCGGCTATTCCATTGCCAAATTAATATTTCGCCATTTGGGGAGTTTTGGTTCGGTTGTTTTATCTTATTCATTGTTCTTAGTTGTCTCAGTGCCCTGGTTAGTATCCTCTGTGATAACCACTTTGTATGGGCTACTTTCGACGTCAAGGCTCGGTGTTTGGGGTCTTTTTCTCAAAGAATTAAGTACGGATTCTAACTTAATGAGCGAGCTTTCAAGCTGCCTTTGTCCGATTTCGAGGTTGACGAATTGTTCAGCAAAAAGGGTATCTCTTTTCTGGAGCTCTTGTTGCATATTCTGTATGATTGCGTCCCTTTTTTGGAATTCCCTTTGAAAGAGTTCGTTTCTCTGTTCTAGTTCCCTTTGAAGGGAGTCTAGTTTTTTAAGTATTTCCATTGTGGTTTCATTTTGTGTTGTGTTTGTTTCAATCACGGGTTTGTCCAGGTTGATACCTGCCTTCATTGCTCTAACGATGTTGATTTGTGACGGCGTTTCTTTAGCTGCGGATAGCACGACCGCATATTGTTTCTTCGGGTCCTCTGCGGGGGTTGGCGAAAGCTGGATGTTGGATTCGTTTGCTGCTGGGGAAGGAGATGATTCACTCACCCTCCAGCTCCCTCTGTTTAAGGGGGGTGATGCCGTCGTCTTCTGTAGTGCCGGTGGGGTTTCCCTGAGGGGCTGCCGTGGCCTTTCGTTCTGGTCTTTCGCTTGTTTGTCTCGGTGGTCGTAGTTTTGTTCTCGTGGGTTTTTGCTCCTGCTTCTTGATCTTTCGGTGTCTCCGAGCATTGCGAAGCTGTTGCGAGTCGGAAGCCTGGGCCATTGGGTGCTTGAGGTGCTCCTGTCGTGGCTGTGCTGCGGTTTGCTCCGAGTGTACTGTCTACTTCTTGGGTTTGTTACGTCTACTCGTGGAGCTATATTTGCTTGGCGCCAGCTTCGGATGCGCATTCCTTCTCTGCGGTTTCTGTCTGCCTCTTGGCGTACTGGACATTGTGGGTAGTCTGCCGGGTGTTCTCCGCTGCAGTTTTGGCATTGGATTTCACAGTTGTGCTCTGATATCCCGTTGGGGTCAGGTGGAAGTTTAGTTCCGCATTGTAAGCATCTCTGGTAGTGTAGTTTGTTTGGGCAGACATCTGCTCGGTGACCTATAGTGGCGCAGTTGCTGCAGAGGAGGCTCCTTGGGGTGTAGGGATGGAGCCTCATGACTACTCTGCTGTAGAGAGCGAATCTAGGAAGGCGGGTTCCCTCGATGACGACAAGTACGGAGTGGGATGAGCCTATTCTCCGAGCTTCTAGGACCTTGGTTCCTTGGATCTCAAGTTCATGTTGAATTTCTTCATCTGGGACGGACATTTGGATGCCGTGTATAACACCTTTGACTGTGTTATTTCCACTGGTTTTATAGGCGAGAATGGGGTGTTGTTTGTTGAGGACTAGTATTTGGCGTAGATGGAGGAATTTCTCTGCTACGGTCGTGCGGTACGTGTCTATCGCAATGAGGTTCGGAATGACTCTCACTTTTACGTAGGTGTCCTTTTTTTCGGCCGTGGTGAGTGCCGCCGCTTGTACAAGGCTTCGTCCTATAGCATCAGGTGGTAATTTACTGAGGTCTGTGCCGTCTGTGAGTTTGATTATCACAGTTATATGTTCTTCGAGTCGTTGGTTTGGAGCACCTACGACTTTCCAGTCTTGTCCTGTGGCGATTTCTTCTGTGTCCATGCTTGTTGGAGGTGTCGGGGCGGGAGTAGCCAACATGCCGCAGGGCGGTAGTCGATTCCTTGTTCTTATGCCGGGCGTTAGGCTTGTCTCCGTTCGGCCATGGGATATGAGTAAAGGTCCGATGTCCTTTGACACCGGGCTTGGTGGTGCCTTTACTCACTTGTCGTGCCTGGTGTCCTTGTGCTAATTTCTTTTCGTATGGCCTTTGCTCTCGGCGAATATATATAGAGTTTGCGTAAAATTATTGGAGCTCGCTGTTCCGCCGTGCGGTCTGATCAACGCTTCTTCTTCTCCCAGCGATGGAAGTCGCTTTAAGAAACTATATGGTAAAAAGAGGAACATGCTCAAACCTCTATGTGAATGTACCGGGTTATGCGTATGTAAAAAGGTCTAATTTTGTGTGAGTGCTCTTTGGCCAAGGTGGCCCTCTGTAATGCTTTTAATATATAAATAAACACATTTTACAAAAAAAAAGTATTGTGGCTTAGCGGTTAAAATGTGTGCCTCGTACACAAGCGGTCGTGCACGGTCGATCCGCAATAGAGGCTTACTTTTTTTTTTCGAACATTTTGTTTTTTGGGGCATTTGGCGATATTTACGACATTTCCTTTTTACGAATAACACAGAAAAATAAAAAAAAAAAAAAATATTGTCGACGACAGTGCTAAAAGCGCGAGCTAGTTGCTTTTGATCGCGCGGCACGAGCGCTCCTGCAGCGGGTGCAGTCATGCCAGTCAAGGCTACTCGCTCGCCGCTTGCACGGCCTTCGCAGCTATTCTATGCAAGGGTGATAATCCGTCGTAGTGCACACAAGTACAGCTACAGAAAAATGCGTGCAAAATTAATAATAATTGGGTTGTGTGTATGTTTATACAGCCTAAAACTCGGTCTGCCTCAACGGGCGACGAGTCTCCTTGCTGTAGATGAGCAATTTAGCCAGTGCGGCACAACCGCTAACCTGGTGTCTTTAACGTGCACCACGCAGTAGCGATACACGACCGCACGCCGGTACAATGCTCATCCAGATGGAAACGGGCAGGGGTGGGGCCGTACAAAATTACTGCGGTCGCCTCCGGTTCGCGTAATCTTCATTTGCAACAGGAGTGACGGACGCACCGGGCGAAGTTTGAAAATGGAGAACGCTTATTTTGATCTTCCTGAGAACGCAACGAGTACAGGCGGCAACGTTGACAACACGCATCAGCGCAGACACCACCGAGCCGCCGAGCACCCGGCACCACACACACACATGCCGAGCGACCGACATTTCAAAATGCAGTCAGCGGCATCCAAAGAAAATGTGGTGTTGACGTCGAAATAAAGTAGATGTCAAAATAAAGCCATTATTTTGACGTCCGTGACGTCATTGGCCACGGCCCCTGGACCCCCAATCGGTGCCGAAAATACGCAACCACACACCACAAGACCGCGCTTTTTTTTTTTTTTTTTTTCTCCACATCTCTGGCATGTGAAGCAGACGACGACAACGACGAAGTTGTATGTAGTACTGTCTGTAGTGCGATTGTTCCACACTTATATCCCTTCCGCTCCGTGATCTGTGCTTGAAAATCGATTGGCCGGTACCACGAACGACAGTTCCGAAGTAGGCGCCCCATGTCCGTCGCAACGTTGGTTCGTCGTGCACCGCCATCGCGTCGTCCGGCCCGCGATACGCTGCTATATTGGGAACGACGCGCCCAAGTACAGGGAGTTTCCTAGAAGCGAGAAGAGTGTTTTTCGGCACGGGTAAATAAACTATGCATCGCAGAGAGCTCAAACTATGTAAGAGTAAGACGGTGGCGGTTGGGATGGAACGCGAAAGGTTGAGAACATGACGACACCTTCATCAAAAGATAATTGAGCAGAACTAAATTTCTCTATGACCTGAGGTCCACCTAAATCTAATATCATTAAAACAAAATAATGACACTTTGGAAACATGTAACATCTATTTCACACACAGCAAAAAAAAAAAAAAATGCTTATCTGCAAGAAATAGCACTTTCTTGGAGGCCAGATAAACGGAGTTTATATTCTTTTTTATTTCCCATATTCAATGTGTGCTTCAGATTTCCCACGACTCTGAATATATTTGGTACACATAGTTTGAACGCCATGGGACCATGGAAGAGAGATTGAGCGCGTCTGCAACCGGCCACTTCTCGACCGGCTGTTTTCGGGTGGAGAGAAAACGAATTTCGAGCAGCAAATTGTGTGGGCAGCTGAGCTGTGATAGGTGATGCTCAAGTAAAAACCTCGGCTAGCATAAATACCGGTCAGTGTCCCTTCGAGCTGGATAAGGGTAACGACTTAACAACATGGCGTCCCCTGAATACCTTAGAAAAATGACACCAGGTTCTCGTAAGTATGACCCACAATAGCATATTTTAATGCGAAAGCCTTAACTGTCCCATGGAGCGAGCAGACGTCATCAGCTTTGAAACCACACCCAACGGCTCTTATATCCTTCTCCAAGTCAAGCCATCTCCCATTCGCCGGTTAGCAACGGCACCTTTCACACCGCTTCGATCCCATTGGCTAGCGCGCGTCGATTAGGCTCCCATTCGCCGGACACGCAGTGCCATGAAAAGGCCGGTCGTTGAAACTGACGCGCAGCGTCAGCTTCAACAACCAGCTACCTCATGGCGCTGCGTGTCCGGTCAGCGCAGTCAGCGCGCCAACACGCGTACAGCAAGAATGATGTACATGCTTTCGCATTCACAACTCATAACAAGTGCTTAGGTGTACCTCGATCTTTCTTTTTGTAAACGTGTGCGTTTATTCGCGTTTCTGCACCAGTCGAGGAATGCCAGACCCGGTGGAGGACCATACGAGACACGTACCTGAAGCGGAAGAAGCGCCAGGGCAGCGTGGTGACAAGAGGACAGTGGCATGTCCTCGACAAGGAACTCTTCTTCCTGGACGACTTCCTCAGACCCAGAACGTGAGCGCTCCGAACAGGCGTTTGGTCCACGATCAAGGGGAAACTGCACTCGCAGCTATCGCGGGAAGTGGGGAGTCTTCGGAAGTCGCTCCGTACTCCGGTTCACCACAAAGACGTCACAAATATTCGGGAGATTAAGGAGGGGGCAGACTTTTGTTCCGCACCCTCGTATTGCTTATACTTGATTTTCTTTTTAATATTTTTAAATGTCTGCAAAGGCGACTGCCCTCCTGCCCCCCCCCCCCCCCCCCCCCCCCCCCCACTTTCGCCCCCTGGTTTCTCCTGTCCCTATGCCATTGTTTTGGTTGGACAATATTTGCGAGATTAAGCCGATCCACAAGAAATTATCGCTTTATAACATAGTCAACCTTATTTTAAGCCCACGGTAAAAGGATCATGCATAAAAAAATTTAGCAAATTTACGCAGATCGGAGGTGTTCCAGGGTAACTCGAGAGGCGGCGCCAGTGTGCCCTGTTGTTGTAAGCGGTAACATGCGGTCGAACGCAAAGATGTGAACCAGCGCCTTAAGGAAAACAGAAATTAAACAGAAACGAAAACAGGACGGCTTTACTGTAGACTGTTTTCTAATCGTTACGGAGATGTTGAATTACCCCTTTGATGTTGTCTTATTGAAGAGAGCTGTAACGTTTTCCCGGGGCTCCTCTCGCATCCCCAAAGGCGAGCTGCGCGTACGTCCCTGAGAGCGCGGACGAGCCTGGTGAAGATGGAGATCGAGGAGCCGGCGGAGGAGGCCACGGACGACTCGTCGCACAGCGCAACGCCGCTTGCACTGCCGGCTCCGAGCAGGGGTCCCGTCGAAGACCGGTCGCGCAGCAGAAACTGCATCGTTCCCGACAACGGTAGGTCTAGAGCGCGAGCCCCGATCCATGTGAAAGTTACCGCGAAGCTGCGAGTTGTTTTAGAGCGCAGCTCTTAGGGGCCCGTTTCCAGCCTGGTCGGCGTCGCCGTTGGCGTCGCCGTCGGCGTCGGCGTCGCCGTCGGCGTCGGCGTCGGCGTAACCGCGCCCCTCCCTCTCCTCCTCCTCCCCCTCCTCCTCCCCTCCTCCTCCTCTTCCTTCCCCTCCTTCTCCTCCTCCCCTCATTGTGTAGTATGGTCCGGGCGGGTCACGTGACCTCGGGAGGAGGGGGTCACATGACCCGTTTCCAGCCTGTGCGGCGTCGGCGTCGCCCCTCCCCCTCTTCCTCCTCCCCCTCCGCTCCTCCTCCTCCCCCTCCTCCCCCGCCAAGGTCACGTTACCCCGGGGGGTGACTCCCCTCCCCCCGCCGGTCACGTGACGCCCCGCCCAAGGTCATGTGATCCCATCCCCTCGAGGTCACGTGACCCCCCGGGCCTCTGCCCTCCTCCTCCTCCCCCTCCTCCTCCTCCCCTCATTGTCTAGTATGGTTCGGGGGGAAAGGGTCGAGTAAGAGCACAGCTCTTACGCGACCCTTTCCGGCTTGAGCGGCAAGGAGGAAAGCAGTACGAAGGTGGAGGAGGGGGGAGGAGAGACGAGGAGGCGGAGGCGAGGGGAGGGGAGGAGCTTGAAGGACGAGGAGGTCGTAAAGGAGAGGGAGGGGGAGCAGGGGGGGAGGAGGACTAGCAGGCATGATCACGAGGGAGGAGGAGGAATATACCCTCCACTCCTCCTCAAGAGCTGCGCTCCAATTCGGCGTTACAGGAAGTTGTAAACGGCTTTCACTTTTTTTTAACGTGAAACGTTCCTTGGCTAGTTGCTCTGGATTTAGAGAAGCCGCGGCCTGTAACGCCACGTGACTTCAGTGTCCCCGCTAGACTTGGCGGGAAAATTGACCTCACGTGACCTCAACACCGATTCAGTTTCCTCTCTAAATTTGGCGGGAAAAATGACGCCATGTGACTTCGTGTCACGTGATTGCTCACGGATTCAGTTTCCCCTCTCGATTTAGCAGAAAAATTGACGTCATGTGACCTCAACGCCAATTCCGTTTTCCCGCTTAAATTTAGCTCGGGAAACGAGGTCACATGACGTCATGTCACGTAACCTATACTCAAATTCAGTTTCCTCACTAAATGTAGCGGAAAAATTTACACGTAACCGGCCGCAGTCCGTCATTCCCCATATGCTCTGTGGACGCACCGTCTGCTGACGTCACTGACGTCACGGCAGATATGTGAATTTGGTGTCATGTGACGTTACATGAGGTCGCAGTGTCACAGAACGTCACGGCGCAGTGTCACGTGGCGTGATGACTACACACCGACTCAGGCTTTCTCACAAAATTTGGCTATCGAGCCGCGACGGACGGGCCCACATGATCGTGCACGGTTCGGCAGCCCTACAAGTGCACGACTTCGCACAATGATAGTCTGGAACGTACTCTTTGATTAATCTGCACTTGCAGATTAATCAAAGAGTATTTTCCAAATTACTCAATTAATCTGCGAGTGCAGATTAATTGAACGGTAAAAATCCCCTCGTGGGCATATGGCGCTCCTGCCTCATATATGCTCCAGTCTGTAGGCTGAATCACCACACCGCTCTCGCCCACGCTATCGTACCACACCTCCTCTTGCCCCTCCACAGCGAAGTAGGGGAAGGGAAGGACACTGTTTCCAGACTAATGTAAATGAAAAAACAAAACAAAAAAAAACGGTCGGATTTTCTTTTAAGCGTGGCAACACTGAATCTGTAGCGGCAGGAGAGAACCGAATGGGGAAACTGGAAGCGCGTATATTCTGAGAAGAAGGTCAGTGGACTTTCACTGATGGTCAAATCGCTAGGTGGTGGTTGCGAAGGGGGACTGATAGGGGAAATATAGAAAAACACGGGAAAGGGTGATTAGCTCGCCCGCCCTCTTGCCTTTCAATAGTTCAAGAGCCATTTTGTCACCGACGGGGTGAGAAGGGCAGGACATGTTCCAGCCGTCCCGTCACCTACCAGTGTCTCCTAGAGGAGCGCACCGGTGCTAAATTTTCCAGCGTCTATCACGAAAACTATCGTAGGGCACATATACGATGCGAGTACTGAGTCAGCGCTCAGCCGGGACTCTTGCTCAATTGGTGCGCCTCACTAGCTGAACCCCCCACCACTGACGCAGCAATCTTGTCGAAGCGGTGTTCTACAGATGCCTTTAGTGACGCAAGAACCTTTAGCACTAAGGCTTCCTTATATAGGCGGTGCTGCTTCAGCGTGAGCTTCTATACCTCCGACAATACGTCGTCGTCTCGTGGGCTTCAAAGGTACTATCGCCATCGCAGCACGACAGAAGGCAAAGATTGCGTGCTAGAGGTTATACGAAAGGGACACCATGCGCTTCTTGTCCTGCCAGGGGGACTATTGCAGAAACCATCTCTGTTTAAGTCTGTCCGTCATAAGATGAAAAGAGGGTAGATTGCTTAGGGGATCAAAGGCGCACAGTATACTCCAGAAATGGAGCGAGTGCATACAACAGCTCTCGGTCAACGTGAGGCCTGTATAAACATGCTTACAATGCCTCGTCCTCTCATCCCACAGCGATCGTGGACTACGCCATTGTGGAGCGCCTCGAGGAGTCGCAGAGGTCCGACCCCGAGGACCTCTTCTGCCTGAGTCTCGCTGCCCAACTCAGAGGGCTAGCACCCGGCCAGAGAAATCTGGCCAAGATGAGGATGCTCAAGACGATGCACGACGTCGAGTTTGGCGCCCTCGGAGACGCCACCGAGTGACCCCTTCGATTCTCTTTCTCCCATTTATTCGATGTGCTATAAAAGTTGGATGCTGCAGTTCAGACGCTGCTTCAAGTTTTTGCTTAAAGGACTTCTTTTTCCCCCGCCAATATCGGTTGATTTACCTTCACCGCCTGCAGGTTCTCGCACATTGACGAAATGTTATCAGTATTTTATATCGGTATTGTTTAGGTTCTCATCCCACTTTTCTGCATGGCGGCCATAGTGGATATTACTGTGGGTCGCCATTGTCTTATTGCGAATTCTGAAACTTGGGCAACTGGTCCGGACCGTCGCTACATCTGGGCGAAGACTGAACATTTGGCAATGCGCAGTTAATTTTTGCGGTAAGAAAACCAAACTAACAAAATAAATTTTTACAGCGGAGCTGTTAAGGGTTAGTTTCGCCAGGATCGTGTCCGTCCTCAAATGACCTGATGACACAGAACTCTGGACAGCTACCGCCATCTGTGAGCGACGTCGGCAACTAGACAACCGACCTGTCGGTTGTCTGGTTGCCGCCGTCGCTCAAACATGGCGGCAACCTTTCGAGCCATTTCAATCTGGCTTGCCGACTTGCGGCCGGCCATTACTTCATTCCCACCATAGTACAGCTTCGCTGGTCTTCCTTCTTCACCAAAGTGGAAAAGCTGAAAGTTTTTTGCTTTTTTTTATAGCGGAGCTGTTAAGAGCTAGTTTCCCCAGGATCGTGTCCGCCAGCAAATAAATCTCGACACAACACTCCGGACAGCTGCCGCCATCTTTGAGCGACGGCGGCAAAAAAACAACCGGCTTGCCGGTTGTCTGGTTGCCGCCATCGCTCATTGATGGCGGCCACCTTTTCACTCTGGCTTGCCGACTTGCGGCCGGCCATTACTTCATTCCCACCATAGTACAACTTCGCTAGTCTTCCTTCTTCACCAGAGTGGAAAGGCTGAAAGAGTTTTAAACGTGCTACTATTTGTCTTTCGTTTAGGCTGTCGTGGTTTGGCTGTCGTGAACCACGCGAAAGACTTGAGCACGTTGGTAAAACACATTTAGGAGAAACTATCTGAACAAATCAACCATACAAAAGAGGAGAACGAGAGAGACACATTCAACCGATGGACCACCGACTGCGTTTAAAGGGCAACTCCGCTCAATTCCGAAAAATTTAGGCTTCCATGTGATTCACATTCACAAAGCACTACTAAACAATTCTACGTCTTCGGATTCACGAAACGTGGTATATTATTTGTGTAATCCTAATTTAAACATCAGCAGATACCGAAACCGAAACTTCGGTTGCGTCAGGCAACATTCGTCTTGGGTCGTCAGAGTCATTGCCACGTCACGTCGAACCACGTGGTCTTGTGACGTTCGGGAGGGAGCGAGAAACAGGACACGCGACGCGGGCAGGTGTCTTTTTTTTTTTTTCTTTTTTTTATTGGACGCGGGCAAGTCCTTCAATTTTTGTTTCCCCTTATTACGTTTACTTCACTTCATTAATACCATAGCAGGCTAGGTCATTGCCATCCTAGATTTTATTCTGTCTTTCTCCCCAGCATTGGCCTTTGTGGAGGCTCGTCCACACCAATTTCAGTGGCTCGGTATCTCAGTAAAACAAGAGAAGGTCAGCAATGGCGGCTGTATTCTGGCGCGTGTGTAAAGCGTCTATAGGCCTATCTACTCGTTAGAATTAATGCGTGGGCGAGTTGGGTATTCATAATGTAGGAAATAGCGCAAAAGTAAACTCACTCACTGAAAATACACGCACACCAGAAAAAAGATCACTCACGTCGCGCTAACTTAGAACTCAGTTTGTATTTTCGTCGTTTTACCTTTTCTGTTACCCATATTAAAATCGTTATATCTTATTTCGTTGTCTTCTGCACAAAACAAATGACAATGTCTATCACACATTACCTTCGAGTGTCAAGATATAACAACTCCTTTTCAGTAAGCATAATGGACAGACTACTAACACAGGTATCACTCATTTTCATAACGTTAGGTGCCTCAATGACTGCACGTGTTAAATGGTGATAGTTATTGTTTCAGAAAGAGACACTGGCTATATTTTTACAAAGAAGACTTAATTTATTAACAGCTCCTACAAGACACAGTGCCAACCAATACCACTCTTTCTCAATCGACATGAAAGACCTAGACTATGCTTTCATAGAGTTATTATAATGTACACTAGAGGTTTAACTGGCGCTAGTGTCTATGCGACTTCCGGGAGGCAAATTGAAGTAGACAGCAACCAGTCTACTTTTTTTTGGTGCTCCTGTGCATTCCAATGGGAAAAAGCGCGTGAAATTTGTCTCTTCGCCGGAAAATAAGATGAATAACTTCTATTATTTCGGTTGTACCGGATAGTATGTACATTTATTAATATTGTAAAAGTGTAATTTCTTTAATTACAGCATTTTTCTTTACCCCTGAACGATGTTAAGCTTCGCTGTATTTCAGGCCCAAACTTTTGTACCATGGCAGGTATGTAAAAACGAGCGGCGATTCTAAGCAAACTAACAATCGAAAGGATGTATTGTGTGTTCAAGGTTAGCTAGCATTCCGGTGGCGCTTATATATTGCTGATATGCCCGTCCTGTCATTATATGAAAATGACTCCTTCGTGCGCATCTTTACGATATCGGTTAAAAAAAAGAAAACATTCGAACGTAAAAAAAATAATGTATGTGGGCTACAAAAGGTTGTATTTTTATTATTTCCTATGTCTGGCAGTTTTTATCGGGCACCTGTTTTCTGGCTTCTCCCTATTTGCAAAGATTTGGAGCCTGCGGGTGATATTTGAACCCAGAACAATCATCTCAAATCGCGCATATTCATGAGCAGAAAGAATAAATCAGTACTTAATTATTGGAAATCGGACTATATTACGTGGCTTTTAATTTATTTTGATCGTCTGCATGCACAATGAGTTACTTATCCCGTGTTACTGCGTAGCTCTTGCCGTCTCTCTTGGTGTTCCAGATGTTCTTAGTTCGTTTGGCACGTATATCCTACAAGCTAGAAAGCGCCGGCGCCGTGTTCGCGTTAACAGTGTCCGACAGTGCACATAAATACATGTACGAAGCAGTTTTAGCACCGTTCTTCATGCCACGAATTTTAAATAAAAACGCCGTAACTGACCAATTATTTCGTCTGCGCGACTGAGAAATGTTTCAATGTGCCTAGTACGTACGAATTATTCGTGATATTTGCTCTTATAATCGAGCGCAGAGAAAAAATGCAGTCGCTTTTTCGCATAGAAATGCATTACCGAAAGTCAATTTCGGACTGGTTGCTGTCTGCTTCAATTTGCAGCAGCACAGTAGCGCCAGTTGAACCTCTAGCGTACATTATAATAACTCTATGTATGCTTTACCTCAAATACGCCTCTTAGAGTGCATTGAAGACAGCATTGACTAGTATGGTGCCATAGCCTTCCAGAACACTTCAGAACTTTCCCAAAGCAACTTTCTTGATTTGCTCAGGTTTTACCTCAGCTCTACCTTCGCTCCTGAAAACAGTAACAGTACTACCTTCAAAAAAAGGAAAAGGGAGTCTGCATCAGATCCTGCATTGCGCCAATTCTCACTGATTTATTCCTAGCATACCACGACAGACTGCTTCAAAAGAGCTTAAATTCCTCGACTGTGGTGAAGGTGCTTCGCTACAGTGGTGACTATTTGGTACACCTGAACACCCACGAAAAAGGTTTCCCGATTCATGTGCCCAATGTGCTCGTCAGGTTTAAAACATGTTTGGACCCTTTAGAGATCACACATGGGGTTCCGGAGCTAGGATCGTTAAGATTTCTGGACCTAAGATTGTCTCTTCAGTCCCATCATGCCTGTCGGTCGTATGAGCCGAGATTGAAAAAAAAAAAACACTCCTCAATTATAATTAGGCGCATTCTAAATTGGTAAAAAGAGGCATAGTCAATCAGTGCTTAAAAAAGCTTCAAAAACTCTATTTTCAAGTCCGGCCCGCATTCAGGCCTAACAAGCTTCGCAGGACAAGTATCTAGGACAGTGGTTCTCAACCATCGATGTCTCCCGGACCCCTTGTGAATCGGCGGAGATGATGGAGGACCCCGTTGGCGGTGAGGGGATGGTACATATAATAATGATTTAATAAATGAATATAACTAACGGCTAGTGTGCAGTAGACCACTCATATTTACACACACACGAGAAAACTTGCCCGAAAACTGAAACATTCCTTCTCGACCTGAAAAAAGACAATTTTATTGCAGGGCTTGACTGATGAGGCAGGGGTATGCGCACCCCTAGAATGCCTTCGCGGACTCCTATTTGAGAACCACTGATCTATAGGATACCAAGTACGCGGTATCCTTTACATCCATTGACTTCAGTCGCCTTAAACAGAATAAAAAAGGTGAAACCACTTCCCGCAAGTCGCGCGACAGATACGTTAAACAAAGACTGGTAGTTATCCCCTTCATTCATAATATTTCTAATAGTCTTAAAAAGATGGGAAATCGCGCAAATATCGATGTAGTCTTTTCCGCCCCCGACAAACTTTCAGGCTTATGTAAAAAAGTTTACGCCTTACCTAAAACTTTTACAGGCTGCACTAAAAAGCATAAAACCCCATTCATTCTTTGCTCAGATGGAGTCAGTTATTCCTTTCCCCTTTCATGCGGCAAACAGTACAAAGGACAAACTGGAAAACGTGTAAATGACAGATTAGGAGAACACAACAACAACACCCGAACAGCGAACTCAAAATTTTTGGGCATTCACTGCCCAAAAGTTTTGTGGGTACACTGCGCGGACTTCGAAAATAGCACCGTAACTGGAAAGAACTATCGCCAATTAACACGTCATTGAGGCAGCTAACATTATGAAAATGAGTGGTAATTGTGTTAATAGTCCGTCCATTACGCTTACTGAAAAAGAGTAGTTATATCTTGACACTTGAAGGTAATATGTGATAGGCATTGCCTTATTTTGTACAGAAGACAACCGAAGTAAGATATAACGATTTTTATACGCGTA